TTGAACTCACTGACCGCGAGATCATGACCTGAGCCGAAGTCGGCCGCTTAACCGACTGAGCCACCCAGGCGCCCCTATATTTCAATTTTAAAAAAAGGAAAAAGAGGGGCACCCGGGTGGCTCAGTCGGTTAAGCGTCCAACTTCAGCTCAGGTCATGATCTCCCACTCCGTGAATTTGGGCCCCACGTCGGGCTCTGCTGGCAGCTCAGAGCCTGGAGCCTGCTTTGGATTCTGTGTCTCCCTCTCTTTCTGCCCCTCCCCTGTTCATGCTCTGTCTCTCTCTGTCTCAAAAATAAATAAAAACAATAAGTAAATAAATAAATACATAAATAAATAAAGGAAAAAGAACAAATGGTCTTCTTTTGTCCATTCTTGAAGAATGGAGATTTCATATGTGTTATCCTTTGAGTTAAATTTATCCTGATTTAAATTGTCCAGATTGTTTTGGTGTGATTTAAGTTCATTTATTCTTGTGAACATTAAGACTTTTCACTCTTACTAACACCTCTGAAGATCACGAAAAATTTTTGTTCTCAGTTCTTTTCAACCTGAGCAATCTTAACTCTTTTATCATAATAACCTGACTAGGTATAGGCCTTTTGCTCATATGGAAGATTTCAGACTGAGCAGGGTACTTGAATGTTATTTATTCACTTAGGCATTCACTGAAGTCTGGAATGATTAAAATGGTGATATTTAAATTTCAAATTTCATACATTCCTATTAGAAGCAGAATATGTGACTACAAGTTATCCTTGGCTAAGATGGGAAGTATGTCTCTCATTTCAGCCCACTGTCTTATCACTGGCTTATGGATAGTCATTCTGTACCCTCGTTTCACTCCTGTCCCACCACCCCCAATCCCTACTTGCTGGAAGGGAACAATGGAATAAGATTCGGCCCCTACCTTCCTACCTATGAAGCAGGGGAGCTGGGGATATAGCTGGTCTAGTTAAGCTGTGCATCATTATGAAGCAGACTAGTTCTGGCTCCTCCTAAACTCTTTTTGATACAACTAGCTAGGTGGAAGGGAAAGGGTGATGAAATATATGTTCGTCTTCCTGCCGTGGGTAGGTCAGTGATTAGACCAAAAGCCTAACAAATAATTCTTCAGAGATTTATTGCAAAACTAAGTTTACAGTTCTGTACTCTCTGGCCGTCTGTATTTTTCAGTATTGGATGCTGAGTAATGGCTATGCAAATGCAGCTTGAAGCAAATGCAGATACTTCAGTGGAAGAAGAG